GAAAAGGAGGACGACAATAATCAGCTGGGCGAAGACGAAGAGGCCGAGGCAGAAGTTCCTGACAGAAACACCCAACGTTTGTACTTTTTTGTTGTTTTTCTGCAACATTTCCAAATCATATTCAAAACATCTGGAGCATGTGGTTGGCGGATTCACAGACGTGTGTAGTTCGACAAGTCCTGTCTACCACTCTCATCATTCCATCTCATCTATCACTTAGTCTAATTATTCGACAGTTGGGGCACCACAGACGATCTGACAACCAGTTCTCTCCACCCTTCTCGGTTTTCTGTTCCTTCTAACGTTTCATTTGCTGTCAATCAAAAACACCGCTACTATCAGTCGAACATTCAGTCCCATCTTTTCTTTTTATGTTTACCGAAGGAAAACATTATTTTTGCTCAGTTTCTTCCTCTTCTTCTCCAAACAGTGACCTCTGACCTGGCCAATGGCCTCATTTGTTGACGTCTGTCACCATAGTAACCGGTGTTGGGTTTATATAATGTTGCAATTTCTTAGTAGACATGTAGACTCCTGTCACCATATACATGTATGTGAATGTGTTTGAGTAAGAATTAACAGTGCAGACCATATCCGAAGGTAAACATTATGCGTTTGCTTTGCAAATGTTACTTTTCTAGTTTTTTACTGTCTTCTCCACCAGGTGGCCCTCATCCGCAGCCCCCGAAGCAGGACCGTCTCCGCTCGGCTCGAGAGGTCAGGATCAAGGAGCTGAAGATGGAGGACGTGGTGAGGACCTCGGCACTTCACCTGGCTTTCCTGGCGGTCATCGTCACCGTCAGTCTGTACAACAGGGGCGACCACGCGTACTACCTGCACCGGTCTGTCACCAACACCTTCCTGGAGAACAGGCAGTTCAAGCAGGTTTGAGATCAGTATTTCAATCGTAGTTTCAATACAACGCATTGTAATGAATCTAGTATGTATCGGCCTCCGTCCCGGTTGAAAGAAGATGGGTCTTTCTGCTCATATTGTTCAGGAATGATAGTTCCATCGCTCTTATTACTTCCGGGCACGGAGTATTGTTTTGAGTGGCTGGGCTGTGGTTTTGTGTATCAGTTTGTCCAGACAGAGTAAGTTGACAGCACGTGGGTGGGGGAAAGATTGACAGGAAGAAGGACTCAATAATAACTCAACGGTCTCATTGGCCGGGTCCCAGCCAGTCGACATGGGGAGATTTAAGGATCCGAGGATCGCGTACTTCTCGGGAACCTCGGATTTCTTGTTATTGCAGTTAATAATGAAGCCCCGGTTATGTTACCGATGACTGCCAGTTATGTTGCCCAACAGATACACACAGCGGACGGTTTGTGGACGTGGACAGAGGAGGTACTACTACCGAACCTGTACCCTGACGTAACCTACAGCAACACCAGTGTTCCACTACGTGACAGAAAGTTCATCTCCGATGGGACTTCTTTCCGAGTGGGAAGAGTTCGACTGCGACAGCTTAGAGTCACACCAAGTAAAGTGCAACTTTGATAGTAAATGTGCCTAAGAATATCTTCAATTCATTAAATGGCATTGTCATCGTGTTTTTGCGTTTGACTTTATGGTATCTTTTATGGTATGTTATATCTCAACTTGTATTTGTGTAGCAGACCAGTGCCCAATACCTGTGGTGATGAGAGCAACTGTCCCGAAGTGCAACGTGGACTACTCCTGGACCAATGAGGACACGCGTTCCATGTCACAAGGATGGGTACCTCAGACAGACCTCAGTAACCATAGAAATAATACCAATCATGCCATGACGACGCCAAAGACGGAAGACCTGGCTCCCTGGAGGTACGAAGACGCCATTGATTTAACCTCAGTGGCCTTTTATGGTGAATTACATCTTTACAGAGGTGGTGGATACGCTGTTGTCTTAAAGAACAACGCAAAGCGTGCTAAGACGCAGCTTTCTGGTCTCAAGAAAACTGCCTGGCTGGACAAGTACACGCGTGCTGTGTTCGTCGAGTTTTCTCTCTACAGTCCTCCGTCCAGTCTTTTCATGGCAGTGACAATCGTCCTGGAGTTTACAACCGTTGGTGACGTCACTAGGTATCCCAGAATCCAAAGCGTCCGACTGTACGGTGTTGATCCCGTGATCATCACGTGCAAGGCCCTGTACTGCCTGTTCGTGCTGTATTTCATTGGACGCGAGGGGCGGAGGATCAGACGAAAAGGCAGGGAATATTTCAGAAGCTTTTGGAACTGCGTAGAGATACCGTTCATTGTACTGGAGGTAGCGGCTGTTGCACTGTACGGAGTAAGAACGGCTTTCTGTAACGACGTTCTGGATAAATTGAACGAAAGAGGTGGTTTCGTTAACTTCCAGTCTGCCGCTTGGTGGAACGATGTCTACAGTTACGTCCTCGCCTGTTTGGTGTTCGCCTCCATAGCCAAGTTTCTGACGCTCTTGCGATTCAACGGACGGATGGCCATGCTTTCCTACGTCATCAGACGGGCGACCAATGAGCTGGTCCATTTCACCGTCATGTTCTTCGTCATCTTCTTGGCGTACTGTCAGGTCACATACCTCCTGCTGGGGACGACTCTAGCCGGGTTTGGGACTTTTCAGGTACGTAAAGTCTATCTGCTTCATATGGATGTTCATATGGAAAAATCCAAGGGTGACCATAGTGGTCCAAGAGTGTCCGCTAGAGCAAGTCTTACTTCATGCCTGTAGCCAGAGGGGGAGGGAGGTCGGAAGGCTCAAAGGTCCACTTTTTATCTAAAGGTCCAATATTTTTATTTAAAAGATGGACTGATTTGTATCACCACCAGGGCTGGAATCGTAGAAAAACTGCTCACTTTGTCATTGAATAAAAATTTATGTCTGATTTTTCCTTAGAAATCTTCTCAAAAACACAGGAAATGCCATTTCAGAGGGTACAATGTTCAAAATTTTCCGGAACCCCCTTGGAAACTCGCAGACCTTGAGAAGACCCCCCCCCCTTAAAATTCTGTCTACGGGCATGTACTATGCTAAAAAAAACTCCTTTCTGCACACGTACAAAATGTAGGCCAGCCTGGAGATGATGTTTGCGATTCTCCTGGGTGACGTGGACCTGTCCTGGGTGCTGAAGGCGAGTCCGCTCAGCTGTGTCTTCCTCCTCACCTTCATCCTCACACTGGTGATGGTCATTGTCAACATGTTCCTGGCTATACTCGTGGATTCCATCAAACATGTCAAGGTTAGAAAGTACAACGTCTATTATGCTACCTTTATAGAAGGAAACATATCGTTTTGCTCCATTTCTTCTTCTTCTTCCATAAAATGAATTACACTGTACCTTTAAGATGACTATACATGACGCTGTAACAGATGCCCTGTGGTGTTGGATTACATTATGTAGCAAGTGGCTGGGCAAAGTTGGGGCTGGTCATCATATATACAGGTATATGAATTGTTTAAGTGAGAATAAACAGAGCAATAATTTATTAGGCTAGACCTTGTGTAGGTAAGTACATGTATTATGTATTTGCTTTGCAAATATTACCTTTCTAGCTAGCTAGGAACCGTTTCAATATGTTTGTCTACAATATACAATATCACTTGGCATCAACATGCCCAAAGATACTACCAACACTGGCACAGTATATACTAGTACTGTTCTCTTGTTACTGTATGATGATATGACAATGACCTACCATTTTCAATATCCTTAAGGATGATGTAAGAAGGCTGAAGAAGGAGAATGAATTGACAGACTTCATGATCCACCGTCTTAAGACAATGTTCAAGTTGACAGATAAGACGTCACTTCCATCCATCAAGACCACAACTCCCCAACCGGAACCCAAACCATCCATCCGCACCACTCACGAGGTACTGTGCGTTTTATAATATATCATTACACATTTGCTCCAAAAAATATTCAAGCAAGTGACGCCTGTGGATGATTGATTGATTGATTGATTGATTGATTGATTGATTGATTTTGTCGATTCTTACCATGACCAACCGAGGACAGTGAGCCTTATATGAACCAATCCATCTGTTACAGGTGGCTACTTGTCCTTTGCCCTCCTCCCGGACTATACCAGATGTTGAGAACACAACAAAAGAAAAGGAAAAAGAAGGTATATTGTATTTATTTCATACCAACGGCCCCAGTTGCTCGACACGTAAATATTTGTAATTCTCAGGCCTAAATTGTATGTGTGCTACATGAAAATTTCGTAAATCTTTTTTTTTTTGCCAGCATCCATCAGGAATAATCTAAAACCTGCTAAAACAATGTGAATGTTCAAAGTACACATCTAAAACAACCTACTTTATTCCCAGTCGCAGAGACAAGCCAGATGAATGAACCAGTGGAGAACCCTACCGACCCAGCTGACGCCTTCGACGTTACGGACCTCCCGGGGAGAGTTGAACATCTTTTGCACTATGTGTACGGCCAGTATGGCGGTGATATTACGGTAGACCAACCGCAAAACACCATGCAGGCTTCCTCTCCTTCAGAGACTCCAGATTCAGAAGATGTTGACGATGAGCTCAAGTACCTTCGCAATGATGAAAGTCCTACAGCCAGCCTGGACAGCTTCGAATTGCAGCTGCAGCACGGCCAGACACCGCTAGGGCATCCAAGAGACCAAATTCGCACGACGTCTAGAGGTAACACACCACCAGACCGAGCATCAGTGAGCCCAGTGACGCCTAGAGAAGGTCCGTCGCCCCAAAGTTATGGAAGCAAGACCCCGTCTCCGGTGGGAGGTGCAGTTCGGTCAACTCCTCCTGCCAAGAGTGACACAAAGAAATCTTCTAAGAGCGATGAAAAGAGGTTTTATCACAAGGTCAGTACGTCGCTGTCGGTTGATGTGGTGGTCCACATTGCCTCAAAAGAATCGTC